TGCTGGTTGAGTCCTCCCGGTGAGGTTCCCCCGGCACCTAACTTAGCAGTTCCTCAGCGGAACTCCAGCATCATGCCCCAGAATCCACAGTACCAGCGTCCAGACACTCAGGCCAGAAAAATGCAAGTTGTCCTGGATTCCTCCTTCTCCCTCAACCCCTACATCAAAACATCTCCAAGTTCGGTTGCATTTTTTCCTCCCAAACATACTGCATATTGGTCTTCTTGCTACCAGCGCTTCTATTGCCTTGGCTGCCCTCACCTCTCCCTGGGACAATTGCATGGCTTCCTAACCGATCCCCCTTCCTTCCCGCTTGCCCCCACCCAATGTGTTTTCTCACGTTACCACCAGTCTGTTTTAACTGTGTGACTCTGATCCCACCAGTAACCTACTTAAAACCCTCAGTGGCTCCTCTTTGCTCCCAGGATAAAATTCAGACTCCTTAGTATGTCTTAAAACTAGGATTACCGTATAGTACGGTTACCACGTTCTCCAAACCAGCACTCTTTGAGTGAAAGGGGGGTGCTGTAAATAAACAGGCTGGCACAAAAGGCGGATGGTCACTCTCCTTATGATCCTTCATGATCTGGTCTAAGCAGCCCGGCCCCTCATCACAGCTCCCCACCCTACCCTCAAGCACACACACACACAGCCGCATTCTGTTGGATGAACAGGTAAGCCCGTGCTATCCTGATTACCTGAAACACCTGTTTTCCCCCTCCTCGTCTGGCCAACTTCTAATCAACTGCTTTGAGTCAAGATCATTTTCTCCAGAAAGCGTTCCCAACACCGGCTTAGGTACCCCTTCCTGTGCTTCCATCACACTTTGCTTTTCCCTCATCATAGTCCTTGTCACACCAAGTTTTAATGTCCTGTTTCCACCTCTAGACAAGAGTGCCTTGGGGTTGAGACTGAGTCAGATTCAGCTGTGTTCCTAGCGTCTAACACAGTGGCTGGTCTGCACTTACACTCTGTGTACTGTCCTGTCTGCCAGATGAGTGGAAATTGGGTCCCCTGTTGTCACCCTGGCAAAAAGAGGGGACCTGGAAGACCAACAGGTTCTGAGACTGCACACCTGCCTCTCCTCCAGCCCCCAGACACGTTCCCCAGGTGTCGCCTCCCTCCATCCTCTTCTTGGCTTCCCCCTAGTGGCAGCTAGGAGGCAGTGACACGCCCCTGGGAGCCAGGTGGTGGCTACAGGAAAGGGACGGAGGGGGCAGTGTCCGCAGCCAGGTTACAGCTGCTGGGTTGCCCTCCCCTCATTGTACTCCTCTCCTGCCTCTCTGCAGCCTCCAGGCACCACCAGGTCCCCACCCCACCCACTGTGCCATTAGAGGCCCGACCCCAAGAACTTTGAAGGAGATGGAACAGTTGGGTGGTGTGGCTCCAGGCTGACCTCCATGCCAGCGGTAGAAAACTTGTGCTCGGAGGAATACCCAGGCAGAATAGATTGGCCAAGCCTGGCTGCCCTATTTTGTTTTATATTCAAACCCTCAATCAAACCACAAGATGTGAGTGTGCTCAGGGCAACTATGAATGGTGCAGCAGCAAGACTCAGCCACAGCAGTTAGTGGACGTGCTGAGTGGCAACGGACACCTGAAGAGCGTAAGAACTGAGCCCCAGTATAAGAACCGAAAAAACAAAATGGGGCAGAAGAGAATGGGAGAAAGGCCTATTGTCACTCTGCTCGGCTGCAGATATTTTTACAGTCAAAATGAGCTTTTCCCTCCCATGTTTAGTCTTATAGTTGGTAGCTGACCTATCACATGAACATATTGGGGAAGAGCTTGGGAAAGGGAAGATGGAGCAGAGTCTCATGGTGGCTGGTCCCCCTCAAGGGAGGGGGCAGGGACAGGCTGTCACCAAGGGCATACAACAGGCCAGCAGCAGAGAGGGTCGCACTCACCTGGACTTGGCTGGAGCAAGGAGCCAACCAGGTTTCTGGAGTCTTGGGCTCTTAGGGCTCTTACGGCTGCCAAGGACTGGAATGGGAAAAGCTACCTTACCCCTTTGTCCTTCCCTTTCACTCTGCAAACAAGAAAACCAAGGCAACATCTACCTAACATCAAAGGCTAAGGGCACCCAGGCTTCCGGGCAGGAGGAGAATGGAAGGAGGAGGTCAGGAAGGAATGTCTTCTTTTTCATGGTCCTTTCTTGGTGCTGAGATAGGAAACCAGTTTCAGGAAGTAAGCACTAGGAACCCGTCCGGCCTCTGCCATCCTAGGGGCCATGCACAGCAACTGCAGTCATTCCTACAGGGCTCCTGGGTCCAAATATGCCCATTCACCTCAGCTCCCCCGCAGCTGTCACAAACACCTAGAAGACTTTGAAAAACGTGACTTAGAAGAAATGCTGGAACAAGGACTCTATGGAACATCAAGTTTTATCCATCCTGGTTTGGAGAGCTTGCTTTATTCAAGGAGTCTGACTGGAAAAAAAAATCTGCAAGAAAAAAAGTCCTTGGAACACAGCAGGAGGAGGGGAAGTCTTGGGCACAGCACCCTTGCCTTTAAACCCTGCCCTGTGTCAGAGGCCACCTGCACCAAGCAGCAGTGTCCAGGGGCTAATGACCGGTTCCGAGGGGAGTGACGCCAGCAAGTGTGCTCTTGGATAATCACTTGCAAAGGCAGAGCCTTGAAGACAGCCTTCCCAACGGGCCAGCAGGTGGGAAAAGACAGCAAATGACCAAAAGGCACACGACTGGTCCGTCCCAGACCTGAAAATGAGGTATATATTGACTTTGCAGTGCGTTCCTGCCCCAGGGTTGTGTTCATTGTAATAATCCTCCCTTCCTCATTTGCAGCTATTAAGAGGACAATTCAGTAACCCTGGTGACCTGTTACATGATAGGGGGAAAGGGGTGCTCTGGCATCCCTAAGGGATTTGACACCTCTTTGGGTCATATTCTGCACTGGTTGCCAAAGGCCTTATCACAGGCAGTGAAAGTGGAATGACCAGCAAAGGCAGGCCAAGGGAAAACCAGAGGCAGAGGAAGCCAGGCTCAGGGCTCCACTAGCCAATCAATCAACTGAGGAAGCATCTGGTTGAAGACTAAAGCCAGGGTGGGAGGCTGGCTCCATCTCCTGACTGAAAATAATGACTATATAACAAACGGGGCATTTACTCCCTCAGTGGCCTAGTCTGAGTGGTGGGCCTGGCACAGTAGTGCGTTTTCTGCCTTCATCCTTACTTTTTTAAAGAGTTCTCTGTGGGGGAGGTGCCAATAGCCAGGTTCCTTTCCAGAGGCCTCTCTTCCCCCTCCCTCACAACCAAGAACAGGTGAGAGGGAGATGTTAGGAGGGCAGAGCAATAGCAGAGTCTCCTTTTAATTCCAATTTTTTTGTATGATTCTAATAACACTCTGGTTAAGGGCTACATTCTATTAATGGGCAAATAAACTCTTTGGCACAACACATTTTGACTCCAAATCTGAAAGGTGACTAGCAGTCCGAATTTGAGATGAAATAAATCTTTTATAAAGGCATTGGCCTGCGGACCTGATGAGCTTTGCTCAGACACAGTCACACAGGTATCACAGGCCGTTTCCATGGGCGCTTACCACAACTCTGTTTGCTGTTGGGGCTTCTGCCTCATATGCCACCAGCTCTGTTCCTGCTACTGTTCGCTAGTCAAGAAACACTTACCATCCAGGACACTTGGGTCTCTCCCCCTGGAGAAAAAATGGCCTTGGAGGTAGTACGGCATTTTGCTGAGTATCACAGGGAATTGAACGTTGGCCTTGCCCCTGTCAAAGACGGGGACCAAGAGCCTTTTCTGAATGACCTCAAAACCTCACCCTAGGAACTGGATTACCCAAGGGGGCCCAAAGTAGAGGTCTTATGTCAAAATATTCTGACGTGGCAAGGCCTGACCGAGTGGCCAGTACTTCAGGAAGTGCATAATCAGCAGGTTAGGGCACTGATGCTCCACATCAGCTTCTCCTACAACCAGGGAGAGGGCTGGAGGGTCAGAGCTTGCTTCAGGCCCTTCTGAATCACTTTTTTTCAGAAGATTCATCGTAATATAGATATCTCAATATTCAACATCAAGGAAAACCAAAGCAAACAGAGGCAGAACTGGACTTCAAAGATCTCTTCACAAAGCTCCAGAAGCATGTAGCTTCCCCACGTAAAAGGGCACCCTTATTTGATGCACAAGAAAACTCACTTAAAATTTTGGAATCCATTATAATGCATTCTTAAATTTCGCACATTGCCCTTCCCTAAACAGTTTTTATTGAGAAAGGCTAAAATTAAATGCCAAAAGCGGGTCAACTACTAATGGAGGGAAATTTTACATTTGGCAAAATCAGTTCAAAGTGAGTATAGAAACTTAGGTTGGAGGAAGGAAAAACAAGGACATGCAAACAGAACAGAGATGCCATAGAGGGAGAACAGACCAGACCCCAAGGTCCGTACCTTATATAGAAAGGGGACAGGTCTTCCTGAATTCCATCCTTCTGATGTACCAACTAAGACCCGGATGTCAGCCTCCTCCCTCTTGGAAGGAAAAAAGTTTCTAGTTGTTTATTATGTCACCTTTAGCCAATCATACCTCTCCACGCCCCCTAAGATAGCTTGCCCACTCCTCCCCCTCCTAATCCCTTATAAGCCCACACCTCCCTGACCAGGTGTGACTTCCCCGGCCTGTAATACCCAGACTGCGGAACATGACCCGGGAGTGGCATTCAAATAAACAACCTGGTCCTTTGTTGCCTCTCTTCGCCTGCTTATTTCAGCTAAAATTTATCTTACAGAAACTACCCTTCCTCTAAGAAAATACCTAATTGCACCAGATCCAGCAGGCATTATACATCCTCTAATTCAGGGACAATGCACAGTTACACTGTATCTAGCTCTCAGTAAACGCCAGACATCTTAAGGTCTTACATTCAGTAAAACAGCAGCCAGTGTCTTCTTCTGGTTCAGCAATGCAGGTAACAGCTTGGAAACAAAGAAGAGCAGCAAGACACTTAAAGCAAACATCTGGCAGAAAGATATGATGTAGACCCACAATCACTTTATTAATTTCACCAATAAGAGACAATAACATCAATCTTTATTACATAAATCTCAGGCCATTTGAGAGGACAAATAGATCCAAGGAAGTTGATAATCAAATACTTAACCAGAAGGCACTACACCACCACCTAAAATCTATTACTGCAGTGGCAGTGGGCTAAGGAAGATTAAGCTACAGTGAAATAATCTCATGAAAATTTAAGACATTACACAGCAGGAAGCAAGTAAAATAAACATTTGGGTCCAAGAGGGTATTTGGCCAGGAAAAAGGTCAAGTTGGCTGAAAGTCACACCAAATGCAAAGGAACAGGTGTGAAGGGAAACACAAGCAACACAGTCCCCAAGCAGAGGGCAGCAGATCAGGCTTCGTCCTCCAGAGAAATGTTCACTGCTCTACAGGCTGCCTCCCCTCAGGCTCCTGCTTGCTGGGGGCTCAGCACCCTGAGGTGGGTTTCGGGCTGCCTAGGGTGGAACTCTTGCTCTGTAAATATGCACCAACTTCACAGAACTTGTCACAGGTTGGGGGGATTGGGTTGGCTTTGTTGCCAGTAGTTCAGAAAAAAGGAAACCCTGAAGCATTCCCATGCAAAGTAGTCTGAGCTTCCCCAATCACATTTCAACACCCCCACACAATACCCTCTGAGGTCTGAAAATCTTGCAGCAGCTGAGCTGTAGTTTAAAGCTGCAAGGCTCACAAAACCCAGGGAGCCAGAATGAGACAATGAAGGCAGGAATCTCTGCATGAGCCTCAATCTGTCTCTGTCTCATTTAGGAGAAACGCTAATTAATATACCTGATGTGGGATGTAGAAAGCTACACTGGAGCAAGCTGGGTCTTCTGCTGAATTTTTCATCAAATTCCAAGGGAAGAACAAGGGGTGGGGGTAACTTTATTTTGAAAAAGCCTCAGAAGGAATTCTCTTATAAAGGGACATGGCTGAACAGGTAGGAAACTGATTCCCCATTGTGAGTTCTTCTGATGGCTTCTGCAAGGATCATGGAGATGTCAATCACCTAGAAAGGCAAGAAAAAGTATGAGGTTGGTGTCCTCTACACAGAGATGACTGGCCAATTTGCAGCTGGTGTACAGCCTAATGAGGGCCCTTCCTCTTCAAACTGCTGTACTGTGCTGTTTTCCCTTGTGAACCAACACACAGCTATTCTTCATAATAACAGTTTTAATATAACCACTTGGGCAAGTGTCAAAATGCTAATGGAGGAAAAACCCTGACTCAGACTCACTAAGATGGTGGTGGGTCGGCATTAAACATTTCTTAGGAATTGGAAGTAAAAAAAACTTAAGCTGAAAAAAAATTCTTAAGAATGACAGACCTAAAAGGATCTCCAGGAATGAAATAATTTTAAGACAACTGTGTGACCAATCGAAACAGAACAATATCCGCATTATAGGGGTACCAGAAGAACAAGAGAGAGAAAATGGGAAAGTGTCTTTGAAGAAATAATTGCTGAAAACTTCCCCAAACTAGGGGAGGAAATGGCCTCTCAGACCACAGAGGTACACAGAACTCCCATAACAAGGGATCCAAGGAGGAAACACCAAGACACATAATAATTAAAATGGCAAAGATCGAAGACAAGGACAAAGTATTAAAGGCAGCCAGAGAGAAAAAAAAGGTTACCTACAAAGGAAAACCCATCAGGCTATCATCAGACTTCTCAACAGAAACCCTACAGGCCAGAAGAGAATGGCATGATATACTTAGTGCAATGAAACAGAAGGGCCTCGAACCAAGAATACTGTATCCAGCACGATTATCATTTAAATATGAAGGAGGTATTAAACAATTCCCAGACAAGCAAAAGTTGAGGGAATTTGCCTCCCACAAACCACCTCTACAGGGCATCTTACAGGGACTGCTCTAGA